TCTAAACAAAAACGTTTCTTTATAGTATTATATTATAATACACAAACTGTAAGCAATTAAAAATATATTTAGGTACATAATATAATATTGTGTAGGTAGGTATAGGTGTACATGTTATTATATTATATTATTTTTAATATTAAAAAAATGAAAGGAAAAATTGTTTGTAAAACTGAAATATATTTTATGATTATAAAAATAAATTGTTTATTAGTTATTAGTTTATTGCCTAATAATAACTCACCAACTACTCACCTGTGCATTTAAAAATTATCGGAAACGACGAAAACCAAAATAAGACGAAACCACACACATATATATAATATAATATATTAAATGATAAATATATTTAAAGAATTTGTAAGAGTTTTCATCATATACTTTAAATTAATATATTATGCAGCAAATAATATGTAAAACACACAATATTTTGTCATACTTGCCGAAATTTTTAGTTTTATTTTTTGCTGTTGGCAAAAGAAAAAATGTTATAATAATAAAGAGTCACACTGGTTATGTACGTGAACATTTATTTTTAATTTACTTTTTACTAATTGATTTTTTAATTGGTTGTTATCGAACTATAAATTAACTTGTGTTTTTCAAATCATCATCATTAAACACAATGATTTATAAATAATTACAAAAAAAAAAAGAAGTTAGTCACATGACATGTGTTTAACATCAATTCTGGTCCATCAATATTTTAGTGGTTACGAGATAGGTACATACCGCGAATTGCGATACTAGTACAACGCGGTTGTAAACAGTCCGAATCACTATAATAATATGCTGATTAAAATAGACTAGTTATGCTGACTGATCTGGAGACCCAAGTAAAGAACCGGTTGTCCGGTAGTAGGGGGAAGTGAATACATAATTAAAATGTGTAAATATCAACAAAATAATATATTTCACGTTAAACATAATAATACACACGAGCGTGTGTGTACACGGCATTATCATATTGTATCAAAAAGGAAACGACCACATCGGCACCGGGCACATCGCTGTAAAGTTATTTGGTGCAGGATCGCCTACGGATCGGCTCTGGTCGTGGGATCAGCGGGGCCGGACCAAGGAGTCACGGGTGGTAGGCAGAGATAAACGGCACATATTAATATGTACAGACTGGTCCATTAAAAACCGTTAATCAACACAAGTTTTCAGTTAATTTAGAAAAAAAAAATGTTGAAATTAAATATAGTTCATTCTACAATATACAATATGCATAGATAAACCTAGGTAAAATTGGTTTAAATGTTTGAAAATTAAAAAAATTATTATTTGTTATTAATTTTTAGAAGTATTTTTCTGCTTCATATTAAATAAAAATTTTGTTACAACAAAAATTCAATATTATGTTTATTTCAAGTTGGATAATTTTTTTTTTTATAAATCACAAAATTGTTATGAAAAATAATTTAAACATATCACTCTGTATAACTATATACATTATTATTTAATCATGTATAGAATATGCATACACATATAATACTCGTGCCTACACACAAAACACACGTGGGCCGATAGTAGATCTGGTAGGGCACGCACGCACCTTTGCGTGGGTTAGACCGAACGCTCGACAGAGAAACCCACCTGATGATGATGATTTGTTTTTCTTAAACGCGCCGACAGACACGTTGGAACCGAAGACGGCACCTGTGGTCTGTAGGCAGCGACCGTATTATTTAGATAGCCCACTCGTATCTATTTTAATAAATTTTAAAATGGAAACTTCAATTTTACTCCAGCCGTCACTTGTTAATTTGTTGTACAAATTAATCACCATATTAATAATTCTTATGTTATTGATATTGGAAAATGTAATTCGAGCAAACACACACAGCGTGGGCCGATTTTAGATTCTATAAACATTTATTACCTATATACATTTTATAGGGAACCATATCAGACTAATTTAAAAATATATATATTATTTTTTTGTTTGTAATAATATTTGTGATAATATTTGTAATCATATTTTTTTTTAAGTTTTTCAACAAGATAGTTCATGAGTATGCACAAGTTATGGATGATGAAATAATGAACGTACATGTTGATGTATGTTTAGATATGTATTCTAAACCTATAATATATTTCATTAAGCGGGTTATTACATAGGGAAGTAATTCATAAATCATAAATACTGTCATGTACGAATATATTCGTTCATTTAAAAAGCAAAAGTAAATAGTAATTACTATTATGTTCAGTAATAGCAATTACTAATCCTTATGAATTATGGATTTATGGACTTTAATGCACATGTATAGGCTACCCTAGTAACTGGATTCAGGTAACTTCAGTTATCATGATATCATTGCTTTAACTACTGAGTTGGCAAGGCGCAAGCGTATGGTTTTATTGAAAAATTCAGATGTTACTCAAAATGAACGTCAATCATGATACATCAAATTGATGATCTAATATTATTACACACAAATATATTATTACATACTGAATTTTAGCGTTAGTTAATATCCCTCTGGGTTCTCTCCAATTATTATTATTTGACGGGAGTGAATGATACATTAGAGAAACTTTAAATTAATTAACCAATTATCTAAGCATTTAAGTATAATTTTTTTTATAGTTTGGATGTCATAATTAAAAGTAACGAATTTCCTTTAGATAATTTAATTTTAGTTTTCAGGCGTGTAGGAGAAATCTGTGCGAAAAAAGTGGTAACACTCTGTATACAACTGTATTTTGGCCAGTCTGGCGAGTTTCAACCGCTCGAAACTTGCGTAAATGTGTAACAACAACTGATGTCAGAGCGAATTAAAAATAGGCATTTTGTATGTTGTGTGTTTGCCTTGGAAAGCATCTGTTAGTTATTTTTTTATTTTTTTTTTAACGTTTCTTGACGAATACGGATGGCTGTTAGTTTCAAAATAATATAGTCAACGTGTCGATCTCGTGTGCATGCGTAACTATTAACGAACATTATAAACATAATAGAAATTAAAGTGACTCGGCACAAAATAGAAATGATAATAACCAATACTACAAAAAAAAATGTTTTAACATCATACTATGACATGTCGTTTTGCAGGTCATCTCGCTAATCGCTCCCTCGAACTGCGCGCGATTCATGTACATGACGCGACACGGTAAATTAAAGTAATTATTATAGTTACTACTTATTACATATCACATATAACTAGCGTCATTAATTACGTTTAGTCAAGTACGCATTCATCATAAGTACCCACTATAATTATTAAAGTCAAGTAAATAAGGAGTTCTAAATATAGCAACTAAATGTGACAGAGTTATTATTTAATGAGTACTATTATTAAAGTTAATTTCTAATAGGAATTATTAACATATTTTATAATACGTAGATAATTAAACCAGATCCAATGAGAGAAAAACTTACACAATAGTTACAAACAGCTTGCTAAAAAAATGCATATGAAGTGGTATAAGATAAAATAATAGTAACCTGCAGCCTGAACTTTCATTCCGTTTGGTAGACCGAAGACTGCTTACCTTAATTCCTTAGCACTTTTCTAATATGTTTAATGTATTTGCAGTTTCCAGGGTCCAGCGAGCAATATACATTTGGACGATGAGAAGACAGTAACGGTCCCCCCTTATCATCTACCCACCAGATGTGGGAATGTGCCCTATATGTACAGAATGATTGTATTAAAGCATAATCCAAATCTTCAATCGGTGAATAATAAGTCTCCGACACACTATATATATTGGATAGCAACTGTTCTTGTAGAAGCGTGCGGCGGTAAGGCAGAAATGTATCAAATCAGAAAATTGGAACGTAAATACCTTCAAAGTTCAAGTGTAATAAAATATAATTGCTGTAGAACGAGGTCGATAGACAATTTATTTAGGAAACGGACGACACCTGCAGCATCACTACCATATAATATAGACGTCGGAGTGAAGTATTTATTTTTAAATGGCGCTAATATACATACACCAACAATACCCTTTTCTCAACCACGTTCAATAGGGAAGTTATTGTTGGCAATATTGTTTCAGTTAAATTTTCGTTGTTAAACATTTAAACTATATCGGTCGAGATTACAAGAGTCGTGAAATTAAGGAGTTTTGCCGTATAAATCCAGATTCCTACGGCTTGAGCCTCGTGTACTTGGTATGGTACATTGACGTGCTACGGAAACGGAAAGGCTCGTCCACAGACACGATTAAAGATATAATATTTTATTATATTATCTATTATATCTTTAACCGTGTCCACAAATATATATATATAAAAAACAAACTAGATTGCCTTGACTGTTATCACTAGTCAGTAGTTGGCAATATAGTTTATTATCCATATATATGTGGGCTTGTCAGACATCTTCGGATCGCCTCGTAGGCGGTGTTTTAAGGCGGGTTTCCACTATACACGTACGCTTGTAAGTGCATACAAATCTTTTGCTGTGATTGATTGGTTAGGTTCAGATACCACACGATTAACCACGATACCGTGTTGTTGGACATAGCTGAACATTTTTCGTGTACACGGCAAACGTGTATAGTTGAAATCCGCCTTTAAGCACGGGTCAAAGGTACCACCCCGGAGTGGGTAGCTGGATTTACGTAATACCCGGTGTAACCCCGTCCAGTAGCTCCGAACCACACATAAGACGGCAATTGTCCACTCCCCCACTGTAAATATGTGGGTGGGTGGGTAGTTGGTCAGGTGATAATTGGTGTCGTTTAATTACAAATAGGTACTTAATTTATTATTTGTAGAGAGTACTTACTACAAATTTGGAAAAAAATCCAACGGAAATTAAAGATTTGACTTTTGCCTGGAGAAAGTAAGACGAACAAATTTTAACAAACTAGTCCAATAATATTATTTAATTTATCTTGTAGAGTCTGTTTTTGTTAATGATTAATGATCTTGTTGTATTCGGCAATACAATTTATCTCAGAGTGTATACCATCGCAACCATTGTCAAATCAGGTTCCTACTAAAATATTCACAGGTCAGTTCTCGCGTGTGAAAAGTGTACCTGTAAACTCTGGACGATCTCTTGGCGGTGAACGAGTGTTGCCGGGACGGCTGCCACGCGCCGGCGGTCACCATCATCATGTCCCTTTCGGTTACGGCCGAGCAACTCCTCCTGGCTGGCTGCACCGCACGCCACCTCACGCCAGGCTGCTGTTGCTGATGCTGCTGTAGCAACACGGCCGTCGTCGACCGCCGACGTCGCTGTTGTTGTTGTTGTTGGTGGTGGTGGTCGTCACTGTCCATAGAACGTTTGCGTCGCGATCACTGGCGCGTCTCGCTGTGAATCATCACGACATCGTTATAACTCATAGCGGGCGCAGCTGCAGTCGTAGCAGCAACAACAACTACGACGAGGCCATCGTCATCGCCTCCGCCGCACGGGCGCGATTCGGACCGCCGATAAAATCCGCCACTGCGATTGCCACTGCCGCTGCGGTCACCGTCGAAATGGTTACGCTGAAACGTCGTCGGTATAAGATACTTAGGTATAATAAATGCGGTAGATGAATCACGCACTGTCCCGTATTGTGGATTTTCCTATTTTAATCGCGAAGAAAGGCGTTTGAATCGGTAACCGATTACCATTATAATGTTATAAAAGGTAAATGTCTGGTACGGTATTATTATTTGGTTGTTACAGTTATGAGTAATTATTTTATTTGTATTATGTATTCGACTGTACGCGATAGTTATGTACAGCCGTGATGTTCACTGACTGCGTTCATTCGACTTGGTGCGCGACACGATAGTCCTAACCTCGTGAACGTTTACGACGTTTACGTCCGTATTTCGTGAATTGTATGAGCGCACAATAACGTACCGTTCACTATAATTCTGTTTCCGATTATGAAAATGTGCGCAGTTGCGACGGGTGTATAGCGAGAAATGAGCAGAGGTGGTGGAGGACGTGGTAAAGTAGCAGGTGGTGGTGGTGATGTCTGTGTGAGGAAAACCGAGTCTAATGACGATAATAATATTATAATCGCGATAAAGTAAGATGCAAACAACTCGATTGACAACTCTATGAAAATATCAGTGTTTGCTAAAGCATCGGAATCAGCCCGAAACAAACGAACGACTATCGAAGCATTTGGGTAAACCCGTCCGGCATGGGCATCAATAAAAGTTAAAAACAGACGAGACGATTATAGGTTCCGTATAAAATTAGTAACAATAATAATATTATGATGTCCATGATCGTTCAAACTTCAAAGACACCACGCCACCACGGTATCCAATAATTATCGACGGGCGCTGTACGCATTAGATCGAAATACGAAAATATTGTGGATTTGTACGTTTACATTTTTTCGAGTAAGTAATACATTTAAACGTGTATTTACTATCGAATGGCGAAATTTTATTTTCATTTTTTATTCAATATCATCATTAGTCAGTGATTTCTATCATATTAAAATCTGTACATGTCTTAAAACCCACCATTATTGTACCATATTATCAGAACACGTTTTGATGTTTGTTTTTTTTTACCAGATATAAATAAACATCGGCAACACAGGCTAATAGTTTGTAATGTTTTGGTATAGCTAATAAACGACGTAATCGCATTGAATGTTGAGGCTGAATTTTATTTAAAATTTGATATTTATACATTATACATCGTATTTCCAAAATTCTACTTAATTTGTTTCTATTATAAACACCGTAGGTATATTTTATCACAATTCCAAACTGTTAATTTAATTTAATAATCGTCGTATGCAGTACGATATCCCAAAATGTTCATTCTGAAAATTGTATATGAGATTTCACACTATTTGTATTTATAACACTCGTTTGGATCGACACATGTACGTATGTGACATCTGTTATTGTTGATTTTGATTTTCGTTTTACAGTAACTTATTAAATCTAATGGGAAATCGTTGGTTTGAAATTTAAACGCAGTGATAGGAGTAATAGGACAACGGGGACATTTGCCTTCCCCCTCACCGAGAGCCTTCTTTTTACATCATCGTGTATGATGTATGTACTGTATGTTGTTATAAGTATACGTCATATAGCATCACTTTTTAAGTCATATTAAGACATTTATCGAACATGGACAAATGTAAATTTATTTAAAAACATTTTAAAAAAAACATCTCCCCACACCTAATATCTGTCAGAAGATATTATTATGTGAGGTGCGATAGTGCTGTTGTTATCGACGTAATCATATAATATTTAACGGGCATAATAATTTCCATATTTTATTTATTCTACATTTTATTGTTTAGATTTATAAGGGGGTCACGTGTCGTGACGTGGTCTGACGAAACACACGACGGCGTCGCACGTGAGCGTGATTAATGATTATTATTATTACTATTATATTATTATTACTTCGTCGCGAAGTCTAAACAAAATGCGTATTTGGTAATACACTAATACGCGAACAGTGAAGGATTAAAATGGAATCACATCGGTAAGGATAACGTTTTTGAGTGTCACTCACCTCGAGTAGTGCAGCCATTAATGAAAGTATATTAGGCACTTATAATAATATCGGACAATACGGAAGAGACGTCGAGTTCGATCGTATTGTCCCCGAAGAGTATGATTGCGCAATACTCCGTTATTTCCACCAGTCACCACGCGCCGCCACTGAATCGACGAAGGTGATCATAATATTATAATTACGATACAACAACAATAATAAACAACAACAACAACACCGTCGCCACTGAGCTCTAGCAATGATACGATAAACCTAATAATATTATGAAATAGATAGTCGTCTCACTTGTTGGTCTTCAAGCGATATTATAATAATATTATATTGTATTAAACGACAACGATAAATAATATTCTGTTCCTCGATTATACTCGCCCGTCGCGTTGTTCCATACCGCTCGACGACGACCACAACAACTGTACAACGGCTGGTTACTTACTGCTATTACGTACGGTAACTGGTAAGCATATCGTTGTAAAAGGTGCGGCGCACCGACGCGACTACTCTGGCGGCGGGCGGCTGTCGCTGTTGTGCAACATGCGCACGCAGCATCAGTGTATCACTGGGTGGTGATGAGTGTTGATTGTGCAACGTTTTTATTATTATCATTATTCTCTTCTCCCGGTGGCGGCCCGATTGCCGTCGTTGGGTTCTTAAAATACTCGCCGCAGCGTAGGCGAGTAGGTATTTCACTGTATTTGCGACATAGACCTATAAACAGTATAAACTAACTTTATAAACTAGTTTATAGGTCCATGATTTGCACACTTTTCTTCTCAGGTTCTTTCAATTTTCCTGCCGTCGCCTCAACGGTCACGTCCCCACTCCCTCGACCATCCGACGGACCGAACCGAGATGTCGGGCGACACCGAAAATAAATCGGAGACTGGACGTCTGCCGACGATAATACCGTTGGCGTTGGAAATTACTGTGTATAATGATCATCAGATCACATAATGTGATATAATAGAAGAGGGGCATGGGTTTGATAAAAATGGAATTAAATATTGAATTCGTAGTAATTCAAGTCGAAGACGAAGGCGCATTCTTGTAAACATAGTAGATACCTTAAATTATAATAGGTGTGATCAGAGCTTAAATGCTTAAAATGCTGTGAGCCCAAACTGCATACACCGTAGGTACCCCAAATACTACTCCTCAATAAATTACTAACTATTCAATGCACAGTAAAAAACCACATCAATATTTTAGTATAATAATGCAGTACCTATACCTATCATATTTATTTAATAGCAAACATTAAGACTTGGTTTGTTAAAATAATAAATATCCAACATGATATTATATAATATTTTACATTATCATCAAATATTTGTATTATACATAGGTACATAACATACTCAGTGCCGCAACTTGGTACATGTTGGTGGGTGTGCGACCAAATATATAGGGCACATGTACAAAGGCGCAACTATGTGGGGTTGGGGGGGGGGCTAAATAAAGCTTAATTATTAGTAAAAAAAACATATTAATCGATAATGATCTAATACAATTAATTTATTAATATTATTGATATAATAATAATATTATATTGTTCACGGTGTACGCAGTATAGATGCTAAACCTAAGGCTGGTTGTGATTATGCTATTATACCTAGTCATTATATTATGGGAAGTTGGGATTTATCAATAATATTTCGTCATTTCCTATAAAACTACAAAAAGGGAAAATATGTTTTGTACACTCGTTGACTTCTCATATGTCGTGTCTTGGCGATGAGGGTTGCACGGCGATAACTAATATGCATACTAGTCACTAAGCATAAGTTAATAATATGTAATAATTTTCTATTTTTAAATAACGAATAAATATTTTAAAAGAAAAAAGTTTCAAATAATTTGGCCACGGGCCCCGGGGCCCATTGCTATGATTTAACGGGGGCCCGGGGATTCTTTGCACCCCTAGCACCCCCGGTTGTTGCGGCACTGATTACATATTTCTATAATCTATAATAGGTATAATCCATATCTTACGATTGCTAATAGAATTTACTTATATTTATAATATTTCTATAAAAGTAATTTTGTTAACTAAATTTCTCTCAGCAATCAGTATCTATAGTATTGATACATTTTTAAAGAGCTTGATTAATGTTATAAGTGGCCCTAGGCTATCCTATTTTCGGGGACCTTAATTTTACAAGAAAATTGTTATACGTATTTGTTTATTTATATTTAGTAGTTGAACAAGGAAATATTTTTACTTAACGAGTAAGTTTACAATGTTTACATTTGATAATTAATTATTAATCAATACAATTTAATTAAAGTGTTAAAACATAGCTGAAAGCCTCAAACTGTAAATGTGTGTACCTATCTGTGTGACTGTGTAGGCATTTCGTGTAACTTAACATGATTACCGAATTTTTTTGTTTTATTAAAAATTACAATCAAAACATTTTTCTTGGGGTCCCTTTTTTGGTTGGTTCTTTGCTATAGCCTATAGCCCTCTTAGCAACCCTTTAATCTGTCTAATTCCATATACACAAGTCCATATGCATATACGATATACATAAGAGCATGCTCTTAGCCAGTTCTTTAGACGACGCATAGACGAAATGCATCTTTCGCGCGTAGTGAATTTTGTGGAACTCATAATAATTGTAAATGCAACTTTTAACTGCATTAAAGTTTGTATAAACTAAAATGTTGTACAATATAGGTACACTGTACAGTGTACATGGTACACATTAAACATTTTTATAAAAATGTTAAATAAAAACCATTATAATTTATAGGAAATGAAGAAACAGCTCTTTTTTAAAATTATAAATGAGAGCTGTTTCTTGTGTCTTAGGACTGGGGTTGCTGAATAACCATCAGGTAAGTATCCCTTAGTTGCACCTATGGCATAAGAGTATACGATACGTCGCCCTTCACGTTTATTTTTTCCATTACAATTACGGAAAATCAACAATAATATTACACGATAACATGCTAGTCGTGACCGTCGACTAGTTCAATATTGTAAATAATTACACTTTGCGGTGCAACGAACCCACAAGGAGATAACGATTTTAACGACGACGCGACAGACGCGACGTCTCTTGTGTCCGTTGTGGATTTGTCATCTTGCATGCTCTTATCTCACGTGTGGCGTATCTAACTTCTTGCTCTCTTACTCTTCTCTCACCATTTCATCAAAATTTATCGGTAACCTATACCTAAGCCGACTTGTTTCTTCTCTCAGTACTAGTTTTAATGGTTTTTATGATTAAAAAACATTACAGCTGAACAATTAACAGAAAATGTATATTATTGAATAATAATTAATAAACAAATAAGGTATTGCAATTTAAAATATATAATAATATTAATTTATTAATTGTTATATCATAAGCCATAATGAAGCCAGATTTGCGATGTAGTTAGAAACGTATGTCCTTACGCGTGGGTTATGGACTTTTTTGAAGCTCTAGAAATGTGGTGTTTGAGGAAGATGCAATTAGAATAAGTTGAACTGAAATAAGAACAAACGAGGACATCCTAAAGACAATAAAATAAAATTGAACATTGATAGATACTCTAAAGAAATGTAGATGGCATGCATGATGCTTGGTGACGAATTACAGAGTTGAATGACAGAAGGCATGATAGGGAGGAATCTGGAACACGAATTACTGAATAAGATCAAGAGCAAGAAGCAGAACGAGATACATCAGCCAAATAATGTAGGATGTAGGAGTCAATTTCTACGAAGAGCTTAAAGATATGTCGAACGACAGGAAAACATTGGAAGGACATTTGTTGTAAACCTTCAACCTCTAGATTGAATATCATAATTCATAATACTGTGGAAATGAGATATAATAAAGTCGGTTTTAACAACATTTTGATTAACGCAATTTAATATGAAGTCCTGGTAGAAAATAAAAAAACTATATTTTTTTTATGTATGCACTAATATATTATATTTTATTACAGAGCTGGTTAGAATAAAATATTAATACTTATATTACTTTGTACGAATGAGGTTCAAGGTCCCAATTATTATAAGTTTTTTTAATTTAACTATATTTTTGTATTAAATAACTTTGACATGGCAACATCAAACAGAATTTATAATTATATTCAATTATTTGAAACAAGGGAAAGTTCGAATGATTCTAAATTAAGTAATAATATTTCAGTGTTCAAATATAATAAAATATATAGGTACATTTGACGTATAATTAAATATAATATAATCTAGTCAGTATATTATACGATATATTAGCCACTAATCACTATAGTGATTACATTAGCGATATAGTCCCTATTAGCTCGTTGATTATACTTCCATGTTTTAATACCTATTATAATATATTAACTTTAGTCTTAGGAACCTGGCAGTTTGTAAAAATCAATACTTTCCACAGTGTGGAAAAAAACAACTACTAACTTGGACAACTTTTTTTAAAAGTTCCAAAATCCATGCATCCAATTTGTTGGATCACCTTTTATTTCGTACGAATTTTTGAAAAATTTCCCCTGACTTCACAGCAACCTTCCTTTTATGTATGTCATCAGGCATAAAATATTTAAATAAAGTATAGAGGTTAAAATTGAATACCTGAAGCCACAACAACAAATCTCCAGATAATACTATTATTGAAGAAAATCCTAAATTGTGTTAAAAATTCTTTGTAATTTTTCGTTGGTTTTTCCCGTAGCATTAAATAACTATAGAGAAAATCGAAAAATAAAAATCGGAGCATTTTTACCATCCAAATTTTTCCTGACAGACAGAAAAAAATACACATCTTAGTAAAATCTAAACAATACCACATATTTAATTTTTTTGATAATTCTCATGTTTAAAAAATTTCATCAAATAAAATATAATGTAGTTAAAAATAAAAAATTATGAAAAACAATATTTTCTTTTCTTGCATAAAATTATAATGACATTCAAATTAATATTTTTAAAATATTTAAAACAAGACGAACGCCAAGATTTCAACCTTAATTGTGGAATCTCTACGAAGCTGCACTAGCTCGTACCAATAATGGTTTGG